ATTCCATAATGATTCAAAATGTTACTGATGACAAAATTCAATGGAAATGCTTAGAATCTAAGATAGAAAGTCAACGTATACATTATGGACGATTGGATACGTGAACATGAGTTTCTATATATATATATATATATAAACTCATCAAAACATTTAAATACTGAGTCATGACACTTATATAATCAATGCATTTACCTCGTTTATATAAGCAATAACAAATCAATTTATGTATGTATTTAGTCATCCTCTTAGCCTTAACCCCCCTTCTATTCTCAAGTAGTTGTTTCTTAATAGGGTTAACTTCAACAAAGTCACAAAAACAAGTTATAATTGCACTATGGGGCAAGGTACAACTTGCACTTGCACTTCGAGCACCCTACTTGACCAGAAAATTGGGTTGTATACATTGCCCAAACTGCAATTCGAAACTGTATTTTGGTCCATAATGCCATTATAACTCATTTTTGTAACTCCCGCGTAGTTTCCTGTTCATAATATTACTAAACCAACCCACATAATCCTGTATATCAGCGAATTGTGTCATTTATAAACCATTTCAAATTGTTTGATTCCARCAACTTCAACCTACCGATTGCACYTTTGTTGTTACMGTGTTAATTGATGCTCGTTGTGTATGAGTTGCACTGTATTAAAAAACATGAAATTTTCCTTAGCTTCACCCGCATTTACATTTGCATTTTCATCTGTGTCTTTATTTTCATTTGCATATTTCAGTGTCGTTATATTTGTCCAGCTTCCAAATGGTTCCAGTGTCTTTGTCGGGGTGTTGACTTGCAAAGAATAAATACGGACACAATCCTATTCCATGATTACTCCCTTAATATTATGTATTGAACACAAGTATACTACGATTACTTGAAAAACTACAAACAACCAAGAACATTTGAAGGGATAAGCATCTTGGAAAAAATAAAATATTATATATTCAACTTACTTTGTCTCAGTGACTATCATTGTGATCTTCGCTATTCACTTTCTCATTCGTTTTTTCTCTCCTTATCCTCTGTTGACTTTCCCCAAAGTTGTTTCGAGAGGTGTGAGTTACCTCATCAGGGTGTGTGCTTGGTGTTTTGAGTTGACTATAGCATTAGCCATATCTACTACTACCTACGAGTCATAGAGGCCAACCTGCTTCAACCTGCCCAAATTGGACGAACATGAAGGGCCCAAGAACGACCATTTCGTCAAAATGGACATTTTTTTATTTTTTGAACAAAATTGAAACAAAGTTTTTTGGACGAAAACTCGTCAAAAATTGTTGTTCCTGAGGGTCCAGCGTTTTACAAACGCTGGACCCCCTGGCTGTACATGGACCTAGCTTGAGACCAGGCACCTCTAGACAGGACTACCTGGAGGTACCTGGTCTCAAGCTAGGTCCATGTACAGCCAGGGGGTCTAGCATTTTACAAACGCCGGACCCTCAGGAACAACAAAATTTGACGAGTTTTCGACAAAAAAACTCGGTTTCAATTTCGTTCAAAAAATACAAGATGTCCATTTTAACGAAATGGCAGTTCAAGAGTCTAGTCCTAAAAAGCCATAGGCTTACAACCATAGCGTCTCAGTTCAAGTGAATACGTTGAACCTCGATACCGTCTGGAAAAAACAGTGCGGTCATAAATTATGTGGGTAGGATCCTAAAGTCATGGCCTATTGTCAACCCTTAACCTCCTTTTCTATTTTTCGTAAACTCCTGCACGGTTGCAAACTTTCATATAGATTTAAAAAAAAATGTTATTGGGACGCCACAATTATGAATGTTCCTTTAAGCATAGAAGATGGCGCCCTACAAAGACTATGTGCCTAGTGAAAGCTCTATGTAGTGCACCCACAATTGTTGCATGATTTTGTTGTGCATTTGTAAAAAGTACATAGTCAAGAATACATTGTGTCTCAACTTTTTGTTCTTCCATACTCGATCCTTGTTTTTACCTTATACCTAAGGCTAATAGAGATTGGGTTGTTCTTCACTTGTTCACTTGAAATTCACATCTTAAGCAACCCCACGTCCCACCCTCCTTTTCTCTTCCCCCCACTCTCTCCTACCCCTCTCTTTCTCTTTCCTACCCTCTCTCTCTCTCTTTGTCTCTCTCTATCTGTACTGCAAAATTTTCCAATGTCGCTGGTCACTTTGAGCCAAACCCTCTTTATCCACCACCATTCTTACGATGGTGCATTGCCTTGTTTTCATTATCGCTTTAGTGATGCGGCTCCCTCCCCCCCCCCCCCCCCAGGGTCCTACCCCTCATGGGACCCCTCCCATCCCATCTCTCATCAATTTTCCCCAGCGCACCCCTACTCCCCTAGTCCTACCTCAGGGTGATCCGACCTGATAGCGGTTGTGGGCACCAGGCTAGAGTAGGACCCTCAGTCAGCCCTGGTTGAAGCATGGTTGCAGAAGCCCTGACTTATGGGTACTTTGGGGACTAGGCGTAAGCGTTTCTTTTATGGGTCTCATGGGTAGACCCCTAATTGTCCCCCAAACTTACCCAACCTCCCTAGTGTATGTCGAGCACACCCTAGATATAACAGGCAGTGTCTGATGCCCCCTCCTAGCCAAGGTCTAACCTATGACACCCTTTGCACAACCCGGATATACCCACCTGGAACAATTGTTATCGGTTATTACCACCTATAGGTTATAGCTTATTATTGGAAGGTGTACGACCACCATCCACCCCCCCTACCCTAATCGTCCACCAAAACCCTCTCCAGTCACTGTTTGTAGTTGTATTGCTATTATCAGCAAATGTTCGGCTACCATCTGGCCCGCTACCTTAATCATCCACGGGACCCCTCTCCAGTTGCTCTTAATTGTATTGTTGTTGTTCTAATAGCCATTCCGTGGGAAAAAAAAGAGTAGAAATGTTTATAGTCGGATGAATTTGGGCGCTCCTGTAGCAGCCCGTACGTTTTCTAAAATTGTGGATTGTTAACGGGCACAACTTCAGGAAGTACTGGTGGTTTAAAATGAACATTTTCTTTATCCTGAACGAAATTGAAACCGATTTATCTGGTCAAATTTTTAGCTCCTGAGGGTCCGGCGCTCTGAAAACTCCACATCGGGGTCTCACATTATGAAAACTCTGGACCTCTTTTTTTTTTCAAATAACGGCGGACGCGACATTTTTTGAAACCGTAAAGGGGAAAAGAACTGACGTCGGCAAAGACACCACTCTCGAACTCGAAATGAGCGATTTCGGTCCAAAAGTATCCGTTGGGCTTCCTCTCCCCCCCCCCCCTCTGACACCATGACCAACCCTTGTAAATATGACACACGGTCTGACACCACGACCGTCGGTACTTCCGTTGCTTTTTTGAACTCGGCGCAACTTTCTTTGCCAACGCGTGTTTTTTTTGCCCATTCGATACTCAAAGGTGACATGAACGTACTTACCCCTTTTTTTTAATTTACAATCCCCCTCAGAAGACCTCCCCTCCACCCCTGATCAATTACCCCCGTGCACCACGCCCTCTGTCCTACCTTAGTGTGACCTTAGTGTGGGCCACCAAGACAACTGCGCTAGCGCTAGTGCCCTGATGCCGGTGGGCCGTAGGACCCGGTTGCCCCCGCTAGGCTAGCGCCCGGGGAGATAAGCTCCTTGACGACTAGGTTTGTGCAAGCGCCCAACAGGCGCACGTGGGTTGATTGACACGTCGCACCTGGTGTTTGGTGACATGGTGGTCCCGTGACGTGTGGACAGGGGTAGCGCCAGCTGTGTGATTGACAAGTTTGAAGCATCAATATAGCGGCACAGTTCGTTGGGCGAGAGATGGATATGGTGGGGGAGCTACGACGTGAGGCGGAGGATTGGCTGATTACCATGGAGAAGTGCTGCACGAGATTACAGGCGATTGTGGGGAAGTTGTCGTTGCGGTGGCAGGAGAGGCTGGAAGGCGAGAGGGGGGTGATCTCTTTGACCGAAAAGTTGGGCGATATAACGCAGGATATGATGCTCTCATCACCACCACTAGCAGTTCAGCCGAATTAAAAAAAAAAAAAAAAAAAAAAAGGATATGCTGGAAACCATGTGGGAGCTGGAGGGGCCAGATCCCCAGCTCGAAGCCTACATCGATTGGGGGAGGGCGGCTGAAGTGATGGGAGCCTGCAAAGCCTTCTTCACAAAGGGCCGAGACCTGCGTTATCTGCTGGAGGAATGGCAGGAGATGGGTGAGATGCGCGAGAGAATTGTAGATCGGGAGCTGATCACGATGACGGGCAAGAACGAAATGGCTGAGGCGCAGGAAGCAACGAAGGTAGCAGCGGCAATTCCAGCAGCAACTACAACAATAACATCAGCATCATCGGCAGCGGCGAGGACAACCGCGTTCATCAAAACAACGACAGCAATTACAAAAACAATAGCAACATCATCATCATCGTCAACAGTGACAATGATGGCAGCAGCGGTGACGACAACAGCGAGAACAGATGCAACTACAGCAACGATAACAACAACAACAACAATGAAAATAGCTGCAATGGCAACAACAACAACAACAACAACAACAACAACAACAACAACAACAACAACAACAACAACAACAGCGGAAACTAAAACAACGACAAGGGCCATCACAACGACATCAGCAAAGATAAAGTCCACAGCAACACCAACACCACTGCAGTGGGGGGAAATTTGCGGAATGATGCGGCTGGCGAGGTGTGGTTTCGGGTTGACGGTGCAATTTATTGTTTCCCCCCCTTTCTACCTGGCGTTTTTACATGGTGACCCGTCCCTCTTTGTCTGGCACTGGGTGGGAGTAAGATAGATGATCTCCCCCTTATTGATTGGAGTTGACCAGCACTCAACTTCCAATCATGAAGGGGTGCTGGTTGCCCCCAATGGGAGGTAGGTTGTTTAGGGTTTCGAGTTCGGGTTCGACTTCCTTGTTGGGGTGATTGATGAAGATGCTTTTTGTTAGGATAATATACAGACTGTATTGGATGTGCACTATGGCATCTCTACACATTATAGGGACGCTGGACTTGATTTCCAGCTCACACTCATCACATCATTGTTAGGGTTTTGTGTCTTCGTTTGATTGATAGGATTGGGCTGCATCGGCAGAAGTTTTTTTTTTTTTGGAAAACAGCCCGATTACATGCTAGAGGTGCTGATAAAGCAAACACCTCTAGCATGCTCCGGAAGGCTCCATCTATTGGTGGGGAGCAGCACCTGCTGGAAATCGGGTCCAGCGTCCCTATCAACATCCAATTTATTATAAGCGTGCCACGTGTCCGATCTTCATGCTAACCAGTTGCAATGGCAAAACAGGAACACGAGCACGCACCATTCAGGGCGATGAGCAGCATTGATTGCCCTCCTGCCGAGGGGATTAACTGCCCATTGCAATCTATGAACTTATCCCTGTTCTGAAACCCTCATCGTATCACGAACGAAAGCCCACAACTCTATGAGGGGAAGGGGTAATCAGAATAGGGGAATAGAAAGTTRATTATWGYSATCYCACATCCCGAAGTCAGCAGTAAACCAACTAAACTGCCCCCAGGGCTGAACACAACTATTCCCCCTATGGCGCCACGTGGCATGTTCTTAACCGGACCCGAAACATTCGCCCACGTGGCAACTCCTCCTTACCAGGGAATCGCAAGTTATRTGTTACAGAATTCGAAACACCCGACACTGGCAGCAAAAGCACACCAAAACCAATACCGCGCTGCCAGGCARACACAGGTCAGATCATCCCCAAGTTGTCTCTCCAACCTTATCYAGAAATCRATCGCCCTGTCAGCAGTCAAGGAGAGAGACCAGAAGTTTAGAAAACAGAATTAGAGTTAGCTATCCTAGAAGTATGCAAAACCAGGCTACGCCATGAGGGGAAGAAGTTAGCAAAATCAGGMTGCATTCCCCAACCCTAATCRCCACGTCATTTCSTTGCTTTGAAACCCTCGTCGATCAGCAAAAGCACCCTACAGCACTAATCAGATCATAACAAAGGGGGAGGGGCATCCAAGGCAAGAAACGCCTCGAAATCACACATCCCACGTGACACGCACCTACCCGTCGCTCCTGTGTATCGAGCCTGAAAAAAAACAAGATTGAAAAGCCCAACAAAATCGCACGCGGGCAACAAACAAACTCTCGCACGCGACCCCGTTGTAATCGTCTCCCTTATCTCCCACCTACCCCACCCCAGTTCGCACGAATCCCACATCCCCAAATCCAGACGGCAGGCAAAACGATGGCAGACCAACAGCGCTGTCCCCGACCCACCCACCCAACACCCCGGGATCCCATAGGCGAACTTCTTAGACACCCCACCTACACCGGGAGCCGCGAAACTTACCTTCATTGCTGATGCCCTGGCTGATTCGGATGCATGCACGAGGGCCTCCAGTTTTGCTAATGTCATTGTTATTCTCCTCGTGAGAGATGCTGCTGTCGTTATGACCCCCCACGTTGTCGGTGCCAATTCCATCGTCGCAGTCAACGATGTCGATAGTGTTTTCAGTGTTGTCATCGTCGGTGATGTTGACGGTTTTGTCGCCATCATCTCTCCCATGCTGCTCACCTTCTGCACCGATGCCGTTGTCGTTGTTATTGTTGTTGTTGTTGTTGTTGTTGTTGTTGTTGTTGTTGTTGTTGTTGTTGTTGTCGTTGTCGTCATTGTTGTCGTTGCTTTTGCCGGTATTGTTGTTGTTGCTGTCGTTATTGTTGTTGTTAGAGCAGACGGCAATGCCCGTGAGATTGGAGTTATCTCTGCTAGCGTCGTTGTTGTCGCATTGAACGGGGGTACAGATAAGCTCGCCATTGTCACCGCTGTCGATGCCGCTGCCGTCAATCAGAAAACACACACAGAGATTACTGTCGGCGCGTTCTCCGTTGTCAGCTTCGTCTTCGATAGCGTCGTCGTCGTCGTAATATCGAGCCTCCAGCACGGCATTTAGAGCTTGCCCCTCCTCAAGCTCCTCATAGTGGCTCCGCATCAAACCATCCAATCGTGGCTGGTCCAGAAACGCGCGCAGGTGAGAGGGTGGCCCCTCCTCCAACCCCCTTGATATCTCCAGTAAAACGTTCATCACGCTCCGGAGCCACGAAATCGATGGAACGGCCCCCACAGCAACAGCCTCCCGCAGCATCGTGACCGCCAGACTGGACCGCATGTTGGTCTGTTGAACAGTTGAAAGCCACTCAGCCGCTCCTATCTGAAGCTCGCCCGAAGTCCCCATCGCCATCCCCACTCAACTCTCGCCCTCACTTATTTCACCCCACGTCACCCACCCCTTCACACCCTAGTCGTACCCCTCCTTACTGACCTCGCCTGTCAAAGGTGCTCAGATGACACGCCACGTGGCGCACCACCGGTCAGGCCGGAAGCCATGTCAGCGGGCGAAAGCCACACTGACATGTCACGTAGGGAGCAGGTCGAGCCGTGCCGACCGGTCCCCAGCGGGGGACCAAGGCCACATCGGCAGAAGGTTAATCCTTCCTTTAAGCGGGGAAGCAATCAATGCCTCTGCTCTTTACGGAGATACAGCAGATATGGTGGATAGGGTTCTCCCTTCATGCGGCACATGTATTGTTTGACGAACATATAAAGACAGTATAGGATGCACAATATGACATGTCCACACATCACTGTATAGGGACGCTGGACCCGATTTCCAGCTGATACACACCACAACAATGTACAGGGACGCTGGACCCGATTTCCAGCAGGTGCAGCTCCTCACCAATAGATGGAGCCTTCAACGCGGGGGACTACTTCTTGGGGCTGCTCTTATCACCTCGTTAAGTAGGTTTTCCCACAAGTGAAGTTGTTAAAAAAAAATAAAAAAAGTGTGGACCACCAAGGACTGTCACCCATCACCAACCCAAAACTCTGGACCTCCTACATATAGGCCCCTCAGGAGCTAAAAGAAATCGACATTTTTTGGGCCAAATAAGTTGGTTTCAATTTCGTTGAGAAAATGTTTTCTTGTTCTCATAGGTTGTATATCAATTGGAGGTACCCTAGCCTCTAGCATCAGTGGGTACATGGCCAGCATCTGTCCCCACACCTCAGTCATCAACGAGACCCCCCCGGCCATTGTGGTTATGTCTTGTCATCACCCAGAGCAGTTCCGGTCCTGGTCATCAGCAGGTACACGACCGCCAGCCACTCTGATAACCCTGTCATCAACTGGGCGTACTCTAGTCGATTTGTCAACATGTGAAGCATACAATTCCACTTAAAGGCCCCATGCTGCAAGTCCCTGGTCAGGCAGGATCAAGACCCAAGGCGGTCACTAACCCTGTAGACAGCGCTAGCTATTGGGAACCCCCTTCCCATCCCACTTGTGCCCCTACCCCCAAAGCAAGGCCCTAAGGTAATCAACTACATGATCATCCACTCCACAAGGCCTACCTGGCCCATCCCTGCCTGCACACCAGCTATCTTTGCATTATGTGATGCATCAGGTGGATCGGAATCGGACACTGCATCTCTTAGACCTATTCCTTACAGCAGCTTGCTTTACCCACCGAGCTATTAGATCAACTGATCTGTGTATGCACTGTACTAGGCTGGGGCACAAGTACAACCTAGCACCATCCGATCGTGTGGAGGGGAGCTTGACGGCCAACAGAATCAAACTTGCAACTGCCTCGTTGCCATGCTTGAGGTCTAACCAACTGAGCTACCACATCTTCTCCTGTGTGATGCCGTTGTAATATTGCAATGGCGATGCAATTAGCAGCAGTGCTATTTTTGATTACCCCTTCCAGTGCTGCCGCTGGTTCCTCTGCCTTCTTATCAAGCAAGTATTTGGACTAGGATTTCGACGCAGTGTTGTAAGCTGCCAAAAGCAGGAAGCCTTATCTTCAGATTGGTTCTAACATCAAAAGTATCAAGACTGCCAGATGGTGCCAAAGGGTTTATTCCACTTCTCCAGTTTTTCAACGACTACATCGCTCTTGTCATCGTGCTTCTTCTATTCACCACAGTCCATATCACCAGATTCTCAAATTCAAGTTTCAACCCTTTTCTCCTCACATCTCTTAGTATGACACCAGTCTAGCCAGATGAGATCGGGTGACTCAGGGGTGGGGGCAGGACAAAAGGGTGTCTGGGTTGTGACACATGGACATCAGGCCTGGGAGAGTGCCACGTGGACAGACCAGAGGGAAGTGGGTGGACGAAGGGAGCTACACCTGCTGGGATTTCATTTACTAAGCATTTCACAAACTGCTTTCATGAAGGTGCAGCCACTTCACTTGATGTGTAGCTAACAAAAAGAAAAAGGAAAAAAGGAAACGAAATGCAATTACGAACTGCTTTCCTGACTCCGCCGTAGTTACACCCCCCCCAAAAAAAACAAACTTTACTAAGCATTTCCTTTACATTGGAGGCTGCCCATGCATTCCTCCTTCCGTCTACCTTTTCCCTTTTTCTCTACCTGCTCAAGTCTTCCTTTGAGATCTGAGAGAAAAAAAAGACTAAAGTGATATGACCCTGGGAGCATATCACTTTTGGCTTCACAGCTGCGGGTCAGGTGCCACCCCGAGCCCCCAACAACGCTCGTGCATCCAGCCCCTCAGCAGAGTGGGTCAGGTGCCACCCCGAGCCCCCAACAACGCTCGTGCATCCAGCCCCTCAGCAGAGCCGGGCTCGACAAACACTCCAACACCCAGTTGGCGACGGTACATCAGGAATCTGTCATGACGTGCGGACTCCGTCGCCAGGCCACCCTATTCTAGGACTCAATCCCTGGGTTGCTCTTATCAACCTAGGGATGGAGTTTTCTGTAAAAACAGAGAATCCAGCTATTGGCCAGGGGGAAAAATAGAGTAGAACCGTTTCTACTCTGAACGGATGAATTTGGGCGATGCTGTAGTGGCCCATACCTTTCCTAAAACCGTGGCTT